ACAAAAAATCAACTGTAAAATTTCAAATTTTTAGAGAGAAACTTAGAGAGTTTTTTTTCAATCATTGTTTGAAAATACGGCAAATAATTTAAAAATGAATGGTGAACTTCGTATAGAAGAGAAAGAGTGATTAAATGAGAAATAAATGAAAAAAATCTTAACCATCATCATCTCTATCATTGATGAGCAGGCTAGCAGAGGTGATGTCGTACAAATTGGGAGGTGCCTGTGTGTACAAGATGTCATCGCTACCGTCATCATTAAGTATTAGGTCGTCATCATCATAATATCCCAATATAATGTATTCTAGATGCACCACCATTTGAAGTCGTTTTAAGTAATAATTCTAGACAATTTTTTCAGTAACAAACAATAGATCAATTGACCAATCAATCAATCAATCAATCAATCAATCAATCAATCAATCAATCAATCAATCAATCAATCAATCAATCAATCGTGAAATCAATCGTGAAATCAATCGTGAAATCAATTAATCAATCAATCAAAGAACTGACATCAATATCGTGAAGGTTCTGGAAAATGTCCGCCTGAAAGTTGTCGTCAATGTTAAGGATGCTGCTATTATTGTTGTCCCTGGCAATAATGTTATCGCCTGCATTCAGCGGCGTTGATTTATTCCCTTGCAGCATTTTTAACGCAGGGTCCATAAAGATATTTGGCGAAAATTTGCTGAAATTACGTCCGACGACATCTAAACTATCTCCAGGATCACTGCAGCGTGGAAGAGTTTTGCTGTTGAGATGTTGTTGCAACGTGTTGCTGGAGTGTTCGTGGAGATAAGGCGAAAGGTTGTCGGATGTTGTTGCTGATGCTGCTACTGCTGCTGACGTCAAAGCGTTGTTGTGGCTGTTGTGGTTACTGCTCCCCGTCATGCGTGGATTGATGTTTTCACTGTCTGAAGCTTTCAACAGAGATGGAGATAAAAAGGTTTGCTGCTTTTGCTGAGGTGTCGATCTATCGGGAATGTATCATGCAATGAAGACAGGCACGTGCTTCACAGATCATCAGATGACATCTCCAAACAGCATCAACACAGCATATATACATTACTAAACAACATCAACACATACAAATCATAACCTTGGTGGCGTTGATAATGATCTTCTAATGGCGTGGTTGTTAACATTGTTATTATTAATAATAATATTATTATTATTAAAATTATTAATATTAATTGTGCTTCTGTCGTCTGGTATAGATGAAAAACTGTGCAGCAAGTCAGTGTTGTCGCTGTTTGCTGCTGTTGTCTGTTGATGCTCTTGCAAAATGTTGTTGGCACTTATCTGTGTGTACACGTGCATTTGTATGCATGTGGGTATGTTTGTGTGCACATATGTATTTGTATGAATGTGTGTATGGTTTTTGTGTACATGCGTATTTTTATGCATGTGTGTATTTTCGTGTTTACATATGTATTTGTATGTATGTGTGTATGTTTGTGTGTACATGTGTATTTGTATGCATGCGTGTATGTTTGTGTGTATTTGTATGCATGCGTGTATGTTTGCGTGTATTTGTATGCATGCGTGTATGTTTGTTTGTTTGTGTGTACATGTGTACTTGTATGCATGCGTGTATGTTTGTTTGTGTGTACATATGTATTTGTATGCATGCGTGTATGTTTGTTTGTGCTAGGAGAATGACACATGGATGAAGATGACGTTTGATGATAAGATGATAACGACGTTGAGATTACGGATGATGACGCCGAGTATTAACTGCAGAGCAGACAAATGACACTCATCACAGAGGCCCTCAAAGAAGGACTGAATGTTAGTGACCAATTCAATTGACAGTGATGAAATTAATGGCGATAATAACAATATTAAAAAACAATGATGATAATGTTAATAATGACGACAATAA